CGAAACAAATATTCAAAAAGACTCGCCTTTGCGCCACACAGGCACAGTGCCACGTGGAATAGTAATTAATATTGCCTTTTTCAAACTTGTGGCTGATCAGCACCACCTCTATTAGGCAATCCAGTCACGCTCACCTTTGCTTTACCATTTGGTACTTTCCGCATTTTGGCATTTTGGCAAATTTTTCGTGTCGCCACTGGCTACACATTGCATTGCGCCCTCACTTTTGTCGTTTCCTTCACTTCCCTTCCTTTGCCTAGCCCCACCATGGGTCCCTTCCTCTCCTTTTTATTCTCACCTGATGGTTGTTTCTGGATTCCTATTTTAGTTCACCTCCTTGTCACCTCCACCCTCCTCCTCCTCATCTTCTTTGCTCCCCCACCATTTCTGATGTCACCACTTCCTATCCGCTTCTATTACCGATCCGTCAACTACCACGTGCCACTGTTGATATCAGCAAAGCCCTAGCGGCCAGTCCAAATAGGGCAACAGGTCCATCTTCATGACGTCAATCTGCCATCATATACTATCAAAACATCGGTCGCTCGTCTTGCCTGGTTGGAGCGTGGGTGGGTAGTTTTTGAGCTGGAGAAGGTTCATCCCCTTGCATCACCCATGTTCATCGCTGTCCCATTCACTTGGGTACACTTATCTTTTGTCCATCGTCTTTGCTATAGCTACACCTACCACACACTGCCTGGGACTCACTTGTTCAAAATTGGAACTACTCCTCTCCCTCCCTCGTTTGATCAGGTGGTCCAACACAACCAGTCCATTAGTAAGGCCATGAAACTGTTGGATTTGGACTAGGTGGTGGACCGGTGGCTCCAGTTTCTTTTTTTTCAGCAGAACATTCATTTACAGTGCAATTATTTTTGATTTTTGAATCATTTTTATGGACACATATTTTTTTAGAATGCCTGACTGACAATAAAGGAACTGTGTTGATACTGATAGTGTTTTGCCTTGCCCTTTTTTTACTGCATCTTCCCATGACATCATGATTTTCCTGCTCTCTTTTTGCTATTGGACTTTACTTTATGGTTGTACAAACCTGTGACATTACTCACAGCATTCATTGTTCTATCCCTTTCTTTCCCTTATTTTGACGATCTTATCCTGTAGCAACTACACAGGATTTGTCAGCGTACATTCCTTCCTTCATGTTCTTTCTCATTCTTTTTGCGCAGCTATACTGTGCATAGCCTACCTTTCTTTTCACTATATAAACCCCTGTATTTTACCTTGTAAAAAAACAACAAAGAACTCCAATCCAGACTTCTTCTCTAATCTCAAGTTCACTACTCTCTGCTACTTGTGATCCAGTGTGGTCACAACACTTCCCACTTCTACCACTGTTAACTGCTGTCATCGTCACTTCCAACTTTTGAAGTCATTGTCATCCCTTTCAATTAGAGTCCTTCTGAGCACTACAGTTTGTGCGTCAGGAGCCTGCTATCACTGGGAACCTCGTCATATTGTCGTTCTCAAACCTACCTTGTGCTACGATTAGCAAGGTAGTGCTCGTCTATACTCGTCACAAAGCCCCTATCCTTCTATAAATTCAACTATCCCTCCTCCTCAAAACCCACACTCATACACCTCTGGGTTTTACTTTGAAGGATCTTTATACGTACCACCCCACAAACAACCAGACCACTCCACTGTTCTAGAAGGCAAAGCCCATGAACAAGTTCCGTGGAATCTGGGAGGATTGTGTGTTAGTTTGTTTTGTGTGTGGTTTTCTAACAGCAGTTCTCATCATCGACAATGTGATCCATGATCACCACCAAGGGAAAAATTGGTCATTCCCAGGAAGTTCTCACCCCCGGAGGGCCGCCAAAGCTACCAGGAAGGTCCCCAGGGCTATTCTGGGACCCTCCCAGGAACTTCTGCGGCCACACTCAAGAGAGCCCCTCTGTTCCTTACTTCTGAGCGGCTATTATCAAGACACCCACCTTTACCAAATGTGCTTCCCTCATGTGCTTCTATGTACCATTCCACCGGTATCAATTGGTAAGTGCTAAGCCATCAGATCGTATCTGCAAAGAAGGTTGACAATGACTCACAATTGCTCAGGAGATTTTCAAGTGTATAACTTCAAAAACTTGTGGGGATCGAGTCTCATGGCAGGCCTAGGTGAGCTATTAAGTAGTATGCTATATATTTTTATAGAGTTCATGTTGTCAAATAGAAATTACGCTATCTGACTATTTCCTCCATTGCCCTGCCCTTCTTGCCGATACTGAAAGCCAACTCGACAATCTTTGTTTCGTTAGCATAGGCCCTGACAGGTATCTCCTCTGTTGGAGGTTTCCAGGCTCAATTCAGCCTCCGGCATATTTTAAGATGGCATTTGCGGTTGATTGCAAGATCTCGTCAAGACAGTGCTATTTAACTACTCAAGAAGACAACAGCATGTTTGAAGGTTATCCAGACATACACAGCACTGTTGCATCTTGCTGGCTTGAACCGATGGAAGATCAGTGTGGGCTTAGAGCGTGGCAGTGTCTTTTGCACTGTCTTCACGAGGTTTCACTGAGTCTTGGTGAGGGGACATGTACCTCTGAGCTGATCTCGAGGCCTATTGCAATTGGACCTGATGAAACAGAACTGATACAAGTCTCGTCGAGACTCTATGATGATAATGGTGTGAGTGTCTTTTTTTTGAGAAATATAAGGCTAATTAAATTTTCATGTGTTTGGCTAGCATTCCCTCGCAAATGAGTTCCCAATATTCAATTTATGTGGGGACCAAAGGCCACCAGAAACGTTTGATGACATCCCGATTGGCCTGCCTGTCAAGGTGTGTTTCACACTACTACATGGTCCAGGTATACATGGAAACCGACTTATTTGAGGACATTTCCTGTCTATTTGTGAGGCTCAATACAGTCAGTTGCACACTCTTCTGCAAAATGCAGTTTCATGATGACTGTTCTTACTTATTTATTTCTAGTATAGCCTAGTCACTCTGTATTTTATATTACCTGATCTACATATATTTCACTGTGATGTTTAGAAGGTCGCCGAAGTGTTTGAGTAATAGTGTACTAGCTGTCTTAGCAAAGCTTCAGCCAGTTTGAGATAGAAATTTAAATAAAAAGGAGAGTGCTCACCACTCCTATTCTCCAGTTTTGTCAACAACGGACTACAGCCCAACTACCTAGTAAAAGCATGTCAGTCTTCGAGCCAATGGTTGTCAGAGGTGTGATTAAAAACACCTTGACTGCTGGTGAACGTGTAAAGTTTGAGACTAATTGGAATGAATCTGTGAGTTGTTTTGTCATACAATCCAGTCAAAGATAAGAACTTACTTGAAATGAAGGTGAAACGACGTGTCAGAGCATGGGAAGGTAGTT